AGAATATTAGACTGTAACTGCTAGTAAGTGTTCTAGTGAAAATTGTACTAAAGCTTAAAGCTAGACTTTTTTTTGCGCTTTGTGTCACTTCTCTGTTGGTGGGAACAGCCAAGGGTTGCTTCTACATCTCTCACAACTTAGTGCCTATGTTTGCAGACTTTAATGCCACAGTGTCATTTAGAAATGACTGTCATTTTGAGGAAGCTTACTGGAAGGGTAGCATTGTGTTTTATGCCATACGAGTGGAATGGTATTGATCCTTTAAACGTTCATCTCCCAGAGCTCACTGTCTACGGGTATCAGTGAGCTTCGCTGTACTGGTCACTGGCAAATAGTTCTTGAAATTGGAGAAAAAGCAGAGGTTTAGTTTGTTTTGTACTAGAGTTTTGTCTGGAGCAGATAAAGGTGGAGACAGGTTTTTGTTATTGTTTTAGAGGGTTGATGGCAATTTTGTGTTTTGGAGGGTTTTGGATTCTTTTCCTTATCTGTGCCCTTTTGAACGTTCTCCCATATTAGAAATACTGGACAGATGCCATATCGCATTGCCCTGAGTTCTGTATATTCCCTACAATGGCAAGTCTGCATATTTTTATTTTTCTTAAGACTTCTAATATGTGTTTACATGTAACAGGAACATGTTTAGAAAAATATATCGAGAGAAGATACTTTGGGGCAGAACAGGGTGTCCCAATGCTTACCAAAACATTTCTAACAGCTTTACTAATAGATGGAAAGGGTTTTTTCCTGGCATAAAATGAAAAAAAATCTGCTTAGTCTAAAGGAGGCAGAACCCATCTACGAGCAGAAATTGGCTGACCTGTGCACTTCCTCAATAACCTTCTCAATCACTGCTCACACATTATTGAAACACATTCACTGTGTTGTTTCTCTCTCTCTTTAGATAATTTTCCCTATTACATTTTGAGCCAGTCTTCTCACATAAATTTTGTAATCATGTAGCTCCATGGATTTCAGTTTCTTTTTACCTTATTTACACCTCTGTAAATGTTTTCAGGTTCCCAGGAATACAAACATAAAAGTTACTTGTGTTTCTTTTTTACTTAATTGGGGTAATCAGTTCAGTACAATCTAACTGAGCTGAGCTGAACTCGAGACAAAACTAGAAATGACATGAGCCAATTTTCAAGACTGAAAAAGCAATTGGAAAGACATACATTGAATTTCCTTGAGCCAAGACCATTACTTCCAAGACCAACTGTCCTATCGTTCATGAAATTACTTGTAAAGCTCTTCAGAAAGTTTCTTCAAGACGGTGGTATAATGTACATCCTTATAGGGATTACAGCGTGCATACAGATACTGTTGCAATAACACTTTAGGTACCTGGATGTCAGCAGCTTGTCAATCTTTACAAATGTAGGGATCAACTCTTAAAGATTCACCTTGATTTTCTAACACTTCCATTTTCAGTATTTTAATCAATAGAATGACCTCAATATATAATCTAGCTTTTCCTCACTGAAATCAGCCATTCCTGCTGTAACAGTACTACAGTCATCAGGTAAATCAAGGGCCAAATTGGCTAAGAATCTAGACATGTAAGAGCCACTTACAATAAATAACAGTAAGTGGAATAAATAACCAACCATGTTTCCAGAGTTCTTGTTCTATTCAGTTGATGCTGTGAGACCAGACACCAACCATATTAGCTTTCTTGAAGACAGTGGTGTTGCTTTGTGGATGACTTTTCAATTCACTGTTACAAGTGAAGCCTATGAAAATAATGTGAGGCTTAAAAAAGACAGTCAAGAAATGTGTTAATTGACATGACTCTGAGAAGAACCATATGGTCAGAATAAGCTGTGAGCAGAATTGTCAGCATAAATATCCTGTAACTATCTAATAACCTCCCCCCTTCCTGATCTACATGGGAGGGATAAGAGACCTTTCTCTACAAGATTCAGGACCAAAACCCCACCAGAATAAATAAAGTTCTGATTACATTTTCTAACTATGATTAAGAGGAAGGCAGCAAACACGGCTGCTGAGGTCCTAGCTTGAATAGCTAGAAAAAAACTCTAGAAAAGCATCACTGGTTGACCAAGCTGGCATAACTTGACATGATTGTGTCTGCCCATATTACACTGTATTTCTGACTAAAGTGAGAAGTTCTGTGTCGTGCCTTGGACAAGTCTTGCTGCAGTAGAAGAGAATTTTGTGAACAGCAGTGGAAAGTCATCTGGACATCTCCCTTCAAAGATAAATTATTTTCTTAGAGGCAGAGAGTCCTATCACATGATGGAAAGATAAATTATTTTCTTAGAGCCAGAGAGTCCTATCACATGATGGATTTTTGTTCTCTTTAAACACTACCTGCTTTTCCTTGTAATTTCCCTTCTGTTCTCTCCTTCAGACACAAAATCTTACCAAGACAGGAATAAATACAGAATCTTTTTATCCTCACTTTTTTAGCTATTGCCACTTAAGAATACGATTGTGTTTGTCCCCCGTGTTTGAAATCAACAATACATGATTAATACAGACTTGCTTAATGAAAAAACATTAGAATGACTGAAATGAATAATGAAAAATCCATGGCAGCTGTTTAGAGCTGGGTGAATACATAAAAACAGAATTTTGTGAATATTGTTTCAATTTTTTATATAAAATCTGTTTCTACTACATTCACACACGTTTTTATTAATTATTCACTTTGCACTTTAATGAAAAATACTTGGGTTTTGCAGACTTGACCATTCCTTCGAGTTATATTACGGTTATTACTTGCATTGCGTTGGCGCCCAAAGCCTCTAGCCTGGATTAGCGCCGACTGCTAGGCACTGTACCGACAGCCCGAGTCTTCCCCCGAAGCCCTTAGATTTGAGAGACAGCTTTGCTGGAGACTGAGGGGAGAGGAGCGCGATTAAAAACCACGGTGGTCAGAGACTGACTATAAACACGTTAATTATCTTTTTATCGTTTCCATGGGCACGCATCTCCGTCGACAGGCCGGAGGCAGGCAGGGGATGGCACTCTGCTAAGGGAGGGCTGCCGGGTATTCCCGCCCGGGGAAGGGCCAGGCAAAGGAGCTCTGCCCGCGGCTCCGCATGCCGGCGCTCGCCCGCGGCGTCGGG